TGGGAACGTGCAGCGGGCGCTCGGGGCGCGTGCAGGCGGCCATTTTGGCGGCGGCGGCACGGCCGCGGCGGGGCGTGCCGCGGCGGCCGCGGCCGCGCGTCACGACCTGGCGCCATTAGCGCGGCGGCCGCGTGCGCGGCCCGCCGGGTGACACGCACAGCGGGCGGCGTGCGCGGCGCGATGCGCCGACCCCCCGGCCGCGACAGCACGGTCGCCGCCACCGCCGCCGAGTCACGGTCGCCATGGCAGAGGAACGAGCGCCAGCCGGCGGGCACGCGCCTTTTTGTGTCTGCCCAAAAACTGCACTTCATCATCGGCTCCAATTGCCTTTCAAGACAGGTGCGCACACACGAGATTGCCTGCCCCAGCCTCCCGATAAACAAAAACAGCGGCCGACAGGGTCGAGCCGTGCGCGTTGGCCGGTCGGAAAACGGTCCGTATCGGCGCCGCCGGACCGCGGAGGCCTGTAGCCACCGGGCAGACAATGGAGGCGCGCCAAGTGCCCCGGACCAGGGGTTTACAGGCGGCCGGGCCGCTCACAGGCCCGGATGTGGCGCCACCGACGTCGGCGGACGCGCATCCCGGCAGGAACGCGGCAGTAAAGCAAATTGATGGGCCATGTGGACGGTCATAGCATGAGCCGCTGGGGAAGGCCACGATCGCATCTCAGCGGTGCCATTTTTGGCGGGGATAGCAGGTGAATTCGGGACATTATATTTGTTTTGATTGGAAAATTGAGACACCATCTTCAAGCCAGGCTGTCCAGGAAATACGAGGCGTCCGAGTGTTCAGAGTGCTATACATGTGGCACGTATCGCATGGATGGCGAAAAGGCAGCCAACATCCCCAAGCTTGAAAAGCAACACAAACCCCCAGACGTTGAATGACAACGAACTACTTCCAACCCTCTTTTGCCGCCCCATCCGCACATCTGAGACTGGCCGCCGTTGCTCACTTCTCTTGAGGTTAGCTTAAAACGAAACAAGCCTACTGCATGAGCCGACATAAGGCACCTGCGATTTCTGACGTCCTCCAGGGCGCCTCGGCGGCTGCAGCGGACGGCCGCCGCCCGCGGCCCCTCCAACGGCCAAGTGGTGGCGGCGGAGGCGGCGACAGCAGCGACTGCGACGCCCCGGACGGCCACTAACGGCGACTGCAGTGCGGTCCGGAGGCGTCCGCCGCTAGCACCCGCCTCGGGCGCGACCCAGACGGGGGCGCGACTGAGCGGCCGGGCCACCGCCGGCGGCCGTGTAACACAACTCGCCTCTGGTAAGCATGGCGCATACAGATGGACGGATGAAGTCGGCGTCTAGGGCACAAGATCACAGAATCGCGCCAGCGACAGACCGTACCAATCGACCTCACGCCGACCGGTCGCTACCGCGACACCCCTCAGACCAGGAAATCCCGGTTGGAGCGCCGGTCGGCCGGCTCGCCTCCAGCCTCCGGCCGCCAGCGGTCAGCGTCCCGCCGCCGCCGCCGTCGCCGGCCGTTCCCACGCAGCGGCGACGCTCGCCCGCGCTGTTGCCGGCGGCGACGCCGCATTCAGAGCATAGCCGCTGCCGCGGACGGCCGGCTATCTCCGGCGGCGCGTTCGGCCCGGCCGCGTCGCGCGCGCTCGGGGCCGTCCCGACCACATTCCGGGCAGTTCGAGCCGTTTCCGTTCAGTCTGTTCCCGGCCGGCCGAAGCCCGCCCCGTCATCCCAACGCTGTTCGACGGCGCTGACGGAGGCGGTGACGGTGACGGTGACGGCCGGCCGCGCCGACGCCCGCCCCGTTATCCCAACGCTGTGCGGCGGCGCTGTGCGGCGGCGCTGACGGTGACGGTGACAGCCGGCCGCGCCGACGCCCGTCCCGTCATCCCAACGCTGTGCGGCGGCGCTGACGCTGACGGTGACGGTGACGGCGACGGTGACAGCCGGCCGCGCCGACGCCCGCCCCGTCATCCCAACGCTGTGCGGCGGTGCTGACGGTGACGGTGACAGCCGGCCGCGCCGACGTCCGCGGACGCAAACTCACCTGGCATACAGATGCAGCGGAAGGCGCCGCTCTCGTCCAGACATGTGCCCTCGTTCTGGCACGGGTTCGAGTCGCACTCGTTGATGTTGATCTCGCACCTGCAACGGTGGAACCGTGAGCGTTGCTCCACGGCGGCGGAGTTCCGTGGAGCCGGTGATGAGCTACCGACTCCAGGTGGGCGAGCTCAAGGCGATTGGGCCTAAGAAAAATTGTTTTTGAGTGAGCGACGTAAACCGTGGCGTCATGACATCGTGACCCAGATGTTACGTGTTTCCCAATGGCTTGCCCTTATGCTGTCAAACCATTAGCCATAACACGAACATTGCGGTAGGTGATATCACACTATATAACGGTCCATTCAATTATACCCTTGTTTGGTTCATAGCTTTCCCGTCGAAAACCAGGCGCACAATGAGTAATTTTTCCATGGGGTAGTCCTTGGCGTTGAAAGCTGCTTTCTGGAATTCATATCGTCTTGATCTGGATAACATACATTTTGGAGTTTTCGGCTCCGCCCCATCTCTTGAACGCGGCACGGCGTGCGGGGATAATGCGGCCAACACGCTGCTATCATCCGAAGGTCAGCGAGCACAGACTTGGCTCGGATATAACCCAGGGACTCTGGGGCACGCGGCGTATGATCCCCCACGCCGCCGCTGGCTGGCGAAGAGCAGAACTGAGCGCGAGCCATCGCTGACGCCGGCGCCGGCAGCTCCGGCCGAGCCATGTCGTCCGTGACTAAACATCCGCCTCACGCCGTCTGGAAACCCGACTCACCTAAACTGCCCAGTCATACTCGCAACAATGCTGCTCTTTACTAATACAGCCCTGACTAAGCCGAGTGTTTTTTAATGGGCGCGGCAGGCGCCCGCCGCGAGCAGACAAAGCTGGCGCGGCGCGCCACGTGCGTGACGCAGCAGACAGCCGGCTCTGCCGAGCGCGTTAGCTCGAGAGCGCGCGCGCAGGCACCACCCACCTGGCGCCGGTGAAGCCCTTGGTGCACTTGCACCTGAACGAGCCGGGCGTGTTGACGCATATGCCGTTGTGCTCACACGGCGAGCCTGTGGATACAGGACGGCGTCAGGTCTGGGCTCACGAGGCGCAGAGGCAGCGGGGACAAGCACCAGGCACAGCTGTTATCAGGCGGCCGCGCCCACACCGCACAAATCAATTACGTGACATACGATGACACAGGGTCCACAGGCCAGCTTTATCACGCACGCACGCACGCACGCACGCACGCACGCACGCACGCACACACACACACACACACACACACACACACACACACACACACACACACACACACACACACACACACACACACACACACACACACACACACACACACACACACACACACACAACAAAAAAACAAAACAGGAAGAAACATGCATTTCTAGGCAATATAAGAATGACTTAAATGTAGTGCAGGGTAACAACTTTGCTGATGCATATCAGAGTCGCAGTAGCATGCATTGTGCGGTGCGATAACCACGGCGCGGTCTGACGCACCGCCCCCGGCAGCATCCAGAACTGGACTCGGCACCGACAAAACAGAGCCGCGCCGAGCGGAAGGCTACAGCCCGCCGACATTATCGGGCTACGCTAAACGTCACTGGCCAGCGCGGCGCGCCGATGCTGCACTACGAGCCAGAGCTGGCTGGGGCTGGCCCATGCCGCGGGAGGCGCTGCCAACACACCGAGCCGACGGCCACCTCAGCTGCCAGCCAGCTCCCCGAAACGGGCCGCGCCGGCGCCGACCAGCCGGCCATCAAATTAACATAAAGAAGCAGTACATTAATGCAGATATGCGCCGAAAAATGGCCGCTTACTCGTGTACCCGCTGGCTGCAAGATGGGGAGAAGAAAGAGGGTTGCGGTCAGTTTGAGGGCGAGCGGTGCGCAGACTCATCGGGTTTCACGCAGCGCCCGCAGACACGGACACGACATCGGAACACAGGCCGCCGCCGCTGCCGCTCAGCTCGGGCTGCCGGTAATCCGCGCTGTTGAGCCGCGACCGTGCCGTGCGGAGCAGCCGTAACCGGCGGCGCGTGGTACGGCGCGGTGGGCGCCGAGAGCCGGACCGAGCCGCCGCGCCGCGCCGCGCCAGCCCACCGGGGGCGGTGACCGACCGGGCGGCGGCGGCGGCGGCGGCTGCTGCTCCCGGGAGCCGGCTCCCGGTGGCTCCGCCTCCCGTCGCGGGTGGCGATGCGGACGCGCCATCCGGGACTTTGGCAATCGCCGTCCACATCCGCCACCCAGATACGATCAGGGAAGCTCGGCGGGCCGCCTTCGGTTGGCCCGAGCACCGCCGCCCGTCCCCAGAGCCCCGTTTTCCCGGTTTGGACGAGCGCGTACCTTCTTCACACTCGTCCAGATCCTTGGAGCAGTCGTTGCCCGAGTACCCGGTCTCGCAGTGGCACTTGTGCGTGCCGTTGATGGGAGATGTGTAGCACTTGGCGCCCGCGTGACACGGGTTCGAGGCGCAGTCGTCGTTCAGATGACACAGCAGACCTGCCGGCCCGGTGCAGAGGGTGACGTCACAGGTGCATCATGGGCGCGGCATGGCCAGCCGTGGCCTTGGGCTGGAGGTCAGGTCAGGCAGGACCGCCAAGCAACGCCCTGGAGCGGTGCGGTACGGCCTGGATGGAGGTCAGGCCAGGTCAGGTAGGACCGCTACGCAGCGCCCTGGAGCGGTGCGGTACAGTCTGGCTGGAGGCCAGGTCAGGTAGGACCGCTACGCAGCGCCCTGGAGCGGTGCGGTACAGCCTGGCTGGAGGTCAGATCAGGCAGGACCGTTACGCAGCGCCCTGGAGCGGTGCGGTACAGCCTGGCTGGAGGTCAGGCAGGACCGCTACGCAGCGCCCTGGAGCGGTGCGGTACAGCCTGGCTGGAGGTCAGGCAGGACCGTTACGCAGCGCCCTGGAGCGGTGCGGTACAGTCTGGCTGGAGGTCAGATCAGGCAGGACCGTTACGCAGCGCCCTGGAGCGGTGCGGTACAGCCTGGCTGGAGGTCAGGTGAGGCAGGACCGCTACGCAGCGCCCTGGAGCGGTGCGGTACAGCCTGGCTGGAGGGCAGGTGAGGCAGGACCGCTACGCAGCGCCCTGGAGCGGTGCGGTACAGCCTGGCTGGAGGGCAGGTGAGGCAGGACCGCTACGCAGCGCCCTGGAGCGGTGCGGTACAGGCTGGCCAACCTGTTTCCGCACATCCAATTGGACTGTTCGCGAGGCACCAATTCTCTGGCAATGCGACAGAACAATGCAAAATCAATCAGAGCACCGATACGCGGCTTAAACCTAATCGGACGTGTCCCCTGAATCAGCAGGTTCTGGCCACCGGGACAATGAGCACATACGTCATTAGCGTGCAGCAGACGAGCGAAAAATCCGGTATCGGGCGACTGTGCGCACTCAACGCACTTGGAGGACCAGCCCGCGGCGCCCCCTCACCTGTCTTGCCGGGCGGACACTCGCAGTGGAAGGTGCCGACGCGGTCGTGGCACGTGGCGCCGTCGAAGCAGCCTCCCTTGGCGCAGTCGTCCTCGTTCTCGCTGCAGTCATCGCCGATCCAGCCGTTGACGCAGATACAGGAGTAGCCGCCGATGGTGTTGGTGCAAGTCGCGCCGTTCTTGCAGATGGAGGGACGCAACGCACACTCGTCCACGTCCTGCGGGCCACGGAGTGCGTCTACACCAACTCACAGGCTAGCGCGCCGGCAACGAAAGGTCGAGGCTACCCCGGCAGCTGCGAGGCATGACGTCACGATGTCAGGGGTGTCACGATGTGTCTGGGCACGAAGGCCGTACACCAGCCTCCGTGACGGGTTACTTATGTCGGCGAGGCGGCTGAAACGGCCGCAGAGGCAGCGGGGGCGGGGGGGGGGGAGGGGATGGACCCAACAGGCAGGACCAAACCCAAGGATGATGAGAACAAAATGCAGCATTGCTTACACCAATTGAGAAAGGGAAAGAAACAGCCCAAATTATTCCCAAACATTCGTCCACGTGCAACTACATATGAATGTTCATCACGTTGAGACAAGCTTTAAAAATATTACACCCATCTTAAAATAGCAATAAGCAAACGAATTCTAACAACAGCCAACCCCGGCAAGAGCCCCGAGAAACAATAAATGATCGTAAACTGGAGTGAAAACGGGTTGCGTTGCATGTGTGGCGAACTGTTTTCACTAGCTTGGCAACGCAACAAATCCGTCATGCAATCCAACTTTTTTTAAAAAAGCTTCCGAAGCAACAAATCCTTGAAAAAACAAAACACATGTCCTTGGCGAAAGGCCAGAAGAGGGAACTGGATGCAACACAGATAGAACGATGCTGAACCGGCCGAATCCCACACCTCTGGATTTCTGGTCAGGAGCTGATGCCGCCAGTTCGCGGTGCGGGTACAGCTAACGAGGTCTGGTCCCGCCGCGCGCTGTTCCCCCGGGAATGTGGCGGCACCGAGGCCACGGGCGTCCGCCCGACGGCCTAAGCCACTTATCGGACTGATCCGCAGAGCAAACGGACCACCAGCACGTCTAATTACCCGTGTAAGCCCTCCTCGAGCAGCGACAGCCACGTCCCGCCGCGTCCCACGCTGGCGCCGAGGACGTTGTCACATGCCGACTGAGTGTCGACGGCCCCACAAAAGTTCAGCCAAGGCGTCACAGAGGCATGCTTTGGGAACGGACGAGACAGAAAAGAACGGTGGCAGACAGCTTCGGAAAACCTCTGAACATGCAGCTCCCTGCCTTTTGACTGCTAATGTGACCTCAGACGCGGGGCGGCATCATGCGGTGCAAAAGCCCAGACAGATACAGTTTCTGACGCACGTCGCGCCGTTCCAGAAGGCAGAGCCTAGTTTTCCAAAACTAGTCGGCCCTCAGCATGTAAAAATGGCTATGTCTACCAACAAAACACAAATAAAAACGAATTTTCCCTGAATGTGACCCAGGTTCTCTTGAATGTTGCGGGTGGGGCTGGCGACTTCACCTGAAAACGGGACTACCTCGCCGCTAGAGGGGAGGAGCGTAGTAGGGCGGAGCTGGGCACGGATGAACCGAACGTACACCTCGCATCAGCAGGAGGAACGCGGGCAGACAGGCGGAGGACCCGCCTGCAGATCGCGTGACCGGGCCACGAGCGTGCAGGCCACAACGCTGGGAGCGGCCGAGGCATGCGTCCGGCGCCGGTGGCACCAGGGACCCGCCGCCTGGTGCGGCGGCTTCGAAAGAGCGTACCTGGTTGCAGTACTCGCCGGTGTAGGTCGGCGGGCACTTGCAGCTGTACGAGTTGATGCCGTCGATGCACTGAGCGCCGTTCTGGCAGAGGTTGCCCGCACAGTCGTCCGTGTTGTCCTCGCAGTCTTTGCCGGTAAACCCTGCCGGCGGCGGCACCCAGGTCAGCGTCCGACGCCATTACACGCAGCCATCGAGGTCAGCTGTGCGAGTTGGCCCCGCGTCCACCGCGAGGACCGGTGCCACTGCTGCCACGCAGCGAAGCATCCGAGCGCACGTCGCCGATGACCTCACCAGTCGCATGAGCCGAGGAGGCAAGGCGAGGACGGCCGCCGCCGCCCGTCACCAGGCTGCCCAGGCCACGGGAACGCCGCGGGCCTCACCTGCCCTCCGACATCCGCCGGCCCTGATCAATGGCCACTGGCAACGCTCCCGGACACACAAAGAACAAACCTGAGCCGGAGGGGACGGGCGGTGTCTGGTCATCGGATCTTAACAGCCGCAGGAATGAAATTAAATGCTATCTGCGGGGATCCGGCATCGTACCCACCCGGTCTTAAAAAGGTCGGATGGCAGGAAATGCTAGATATCACAGCCTTCCTTAAGCTGTGTAATGCCACTGAACACCCTCATTCAGAGCCCCAGTTTCAGGGACAATTGGCGACTTCACGTACCCCATAAGCAGCCAGAAAAGTCGTGATTCACAGCGTACCCCACGCGAGACGCCTGTTTCCGCCGCACCGCACCGTAACAGTGCACCCACCCAATCCGCTCCGCTCCCTCCCCTCAAGCGCTCCGCTCCCTCCCTGCGCCCCGCAGCGGCTCCATCTCGCCCATCCCCCCTATCTCTCTCCCTCTTTCGCCACGGCGCAGTCGCGTGATTTCTTTCGCCTTGAGCCCTCGGCGCGCCGAGCGGGCGCCCCTGGCGGCCGCTCGCGCGCCGGACGCGCGTCATCCGTCTCGCCATGTCAGAGACCGTACGTGGGCCGCGCGGCCGCCGGCCGGCGCTGAGCGTGAGAACTTTCCCAGCCGGCCCGGCCCCGCCGCTGCGGCGCCCCCACCGCCCGAGGCCACGCGGCCAAGACGCCGGCGGCGGGCGGCGGGCGGCGGGCGGCGGGCGGGCGCGGCCGCTACCGCCGCCGCGCCCGAGCCGGCACCGGGCCGCCAGGCGACCCACCGCCGTCGCCGCCGCTAATGGATCACGGCGGCGGCCGATGGCGGCCGGCCAGTTTTTGGCGGCGCCGCGGACGTCAGGCGGCCGTCGCGTCTCGGCACGGCGCTGTCGTGAGAACGGCCCGTTTCCGGCCGGGACGCCGGCGACAGCGGCGATGGACCGGTCCCGGTCACGGCGTCAGGGTACTGAACCGGCGCGGGAGGGGCGTCAGCACCCCGCGAGCGGGGCTGACCCCGGGGGACCAGGTACCAATCGCGCGGGGGAACAATACTTGCCTGGCGGTAACGAGGACGCTCTCTTCTGCCTCAGGGTGGGTGGGAGCGAAATGGCAAGCAGCGACCCGCTCCGAGTCAGTGGCTACATCCTGCAAGTGCGCTCACAGCTCCCGAAGTACATGATGAGACTGCGCGTAGGGCAGACCGAACAAAAATAAACAGCGTTGTTTTGACACGGACGGATGCGGGCGTCTCGAAACACAAACAGCCGCGACAGAGATTCGCTCGCTTCACAGCGCACTGAGCAGCCTGAGACAATGGCACGACACACAATGCCACAGTCCAGTCGTTCAGACCCCACCGCTTTCGTGGAAGACAGCATCGCGAACGATCGTGTCGCCATTACAGGTCGGCGACAAAGAATGGCCGGCGAGCCCGACTAACTGGCTATTGCATTTCTCTCTGTCCCGAACGTTCCAAATGGAAACGGAATGAGGCGTTATGCAACAGATCCAGATTGGGGCACATCATGCACGTGTTTTTTATCATGACGGACATATTCCGTCAATTGGTTTCGAAACTAAGCATTCTGGGCACATTTAATCGGCTCACAGCAGCGTGCAACTCGCCGTAAAGCCGTTTAAGCCCCTCCTCACGCAACTACGCGCCATGGATCAGATGCACGAAGTGGGCGCAACGCCATCGAAAGCCATGTCATCACGCCGGCTAATACGGACGGCTCCGGCGACCGTGGGACCGCAGCCCGCTCTGGCCGTCGCCCGTCACCGCGGCGCCGCGCCGGCCCGTCTCGGCCGACGGCCACCGCCGCTCGCCGGCGAGCCCGCCTGCCGGGCGTGCCGCGCGGCGTCGGCCGACCTCGGGTCACGCCGCGACGGCCGGCGCCGTGACCCGCGCCGGCCATCGCGGCGCGGCGCCCCGGCGCAGGCGGCAATTATCGCGCCGCCGCCGCCGCCGGTTGATGGGCGACGAGCCAGGTGGCCGGTGGCGCTGCAGCAGGGCCGGCGGAAGCGGGCCGCGGCCGGGGTCAGGAGGTGGGCCGGCCGGCGCCCCCTCCCACGGCTGCCGACCGGCCGCTCACAAAGGCGTCCGGTCGGAGCCGCCGCCGGCGCCCCGTCGTGCCCGCTGCGGGCTGGGACCCCGGTCCGGGCCGCGCTGACCGACGCGCAGGACGACGTGAATAGGTGGGCACACAGCGGCGGACAAAGCAGCCCATTCCAGGCCGGTGAGTATTCTGAACAAGCATGATCCAAACTCCAAAACCACATCATGAGATGGGACGTACAACAAATGGGACTAAAATAAACAGTTTCGTTCGACGTAGTCAGATGCGGACGTCTCGTGACAAAAGCACCGTGTTAGAAAGCCGTAAGAGCCATTCGCTTACTTCAGCGCATACTAAATTCCCTGGGGCAACACCACAACGCAGATTAATGGCTTCATGCATGCCGGCACAACCTTCCAACTGTCTTCAGCACTCCTTTGAACACTTCGTGCATGTTCGCAGAACACATAGTTTCACAGCGGCAGCCACTATCGGTACCCTCCCCGCCAGATAATCGGTTCATTGCGGGCCCTCGGCGAACCCCAGCCGGGCAGCGCGGGCCGCTCTTCTCAGCAGGGCCGCGATAATGGCGCACGTCTGCGATAATGGCGCACTCCCGGCCGGCGCGCGCCGTGCAACAAAGCCGCCCGGGGCGTCGCCTTCGCGGAAGCGGCTGCCGCCGCTCCAGTTCGGCACCGTCGCGCCAAACCGCGGGCGGCGATCGGGCCGATCAACGCGGAGATAGCCGGCACTCGGCACGCAACGCCGCGGCGCCGCGGGCCGGGGGTCCGCTGCCAGTCACGTGCCCCGGGTGACCGTCACACGATCGCCCGGGTCAGCGTGACACGCCAGGCGGCGAGGTGAAACACCTGCAGCTGGCTCCTCCGGCCCGATCACCGCCGCGTCGGGCCGGCTGGGCGGTTCCCGTCGCAGCCGGTGACCCGCGGTCGCACGGTCGCCCCGGCGACCGTGCGACCGCCGCCGCTGCAGCCGCGACCGGCCGGGCCGCAGCTCTCGCGTGGCGGGCGCGGTGGCCTATCACAGGATCGAGGCCGGCAGCGGGCCTGCCAGCCGGCGGCCAGCTGCCGGCGTCCAGCTGTGGAGCGGCTGAGCTCCTCCCGCCGCAGCTCAGGGGCCCACGGACCCGCACCGCCGCTCGCGAAGAGGCCTGCCGGCTCGGCTGGTCAGCCAAGCTCGGCACAAAGAAGTCGCCTCCGAAGAAAAGTCACCTGCTTAGCGGCGGCGGCGGTGCCAGGATTCCGACATAATCACGTTCACACAAAGAGCGCGTGCAACGCCCGCCACAGAATGGCACAGAGAATCTTGCGAAACGGCACATGCAAATATACAAATCGGATGCTTAAGTCGGCCGGTCTGCTTAAGATCCAATCCATTGCCAACGAGCCATCGACTCCTGTGTCCAACAGAACAATCGCCTGTTCCAGTGGATGACTCGAGAAACCTGCGGATTACCGTCAAAATTGGACGATAACTCGATGCTTTCGCCGCGCTTCGTGAAGCTACGCTCCTGCAAACAGGTTATGTCGGCTTTTCCCGGTCGTTAACCTGAGAGAGAGAGCGACATTCAACCGGAGCCGCCGAAGCCCGACCTTCGTGTTCACACAGAGCTCGCGCCGGTCATGCGGTCACGTGACACTGCAATCCGCGCCGGCGCTCTGTGTCGGCACGTCACATACACACACTTCACGTTGCGTTTGCGTCACTCCAGTCCCGTCGGCGCGGTCGGGGTGCATGCCCTCCGCGTTCACACGCAGATCACACGCTCACGGGGCACGGCACCGATGACGCCGACCACCCCACACCACGGGCGTCGCGGGCCGCGCTGGCAGGAGGACGTCGCGTGCGTGGGAGTAGTGGCTCCAGCCGGCCGCGCTCGGAGCGGTGTCGAAACAGCGCCCCCGGCGGGCCCGGGGCGGCCCGGCTCCACGCCCGGGCCACTGCGGTACACGCCATCAGTAAGTACGGTGGCTTAGCTCGCAGCCGGGACTGTTGAATCCGTTCACACACGGTTCAAGCCTCTAGCGGCGCCACCATCCAGCGTAACATGGAACACACCATCGAGCCGATGGCAAGGAGTCCGTGTGCCCCGGCATCGGATACGTCAGCAGCAAAGATGGCCGACCGGTATGAATCACCCACGTGCATCGTGTGACTCCGGCGACGACCATGGGCCGTTAACAGGACGTAACAGCGCTGGGTGATTCATTCGTCTGGAGAGGCAGCCTCGCTTCACAGAGCAAGACTACTCGCAATGATCGCGTGTTGCTTCGGCACAGATGACGTCATCCCATGATCACACCGAATGGATAACGCTGCAACCGCCTCCTTTGGTCGCATCCGGGTTCACTGTCAAAGCACGCGTACAAGTGTAGAACTACTGGTACCCCAACACCCCACTGACGACGCCAACGGCAAATATTAGCGCATTTTAAAAACCTGTCATCGCAAAAACATTGTTGGCTCAGGTACTCCATGTTCGTGACGTTGTATTATCAAGATAAGCTTTAATTTACTGACGAGCTCGGGCAGCCCCAGCCTGGAGCGTTGGGCAAGAAACCCACGGCTGGCAGAACGATTCCTTGCCGACATCGGTCTATGTCATTTGACCTCCGCTTCCGGGCAATTATGATACGAATCGAACCTCCCACGCTTCAGGTAACTACCGTTCAGCGGATCAACTACCGAAAAAAAACTGCGGTGAGAGTCCGGTTTTGCCCGATAACTTTTTTTGCGTGCTACAAAGATAGCACGGGCTGCCCAGATGGCGCTTCTGCACTCGAATGGGCCTGTGGGCGCACTGTGCGAGAGCTCCCTCGCCGCATCCCCATCCGCCCACGGAGACCTCCCCCGCCATGCCACCTCATTCGCAACGCAGAACGACCGACCGACAGCAAGGTCGCGCCACAGTGGCGCCTCGTCACTCTCCTCAGCCTCGCGCGGAGACGCTCAGGAATCCTGTGCCGGGGCAAAACGTTCGAAAATTATCCAGGCCTCCCACCCCCACGCACAGGGAGCAATACGCTCAACAACTCTCCGGAGCCCCGCGCAGGGGGGTAACGCACTGGACCTCTCTCCACACCAACGTGCAGACACGTACAGCGACACTCAAAAATCGCCACGGACACACTCTCATCTCTCATCTGACGGTCCGGTGCTGGACACTTCCCACAGTCTCGCATAGTAAAAACAAAAACGAAAACAAAGACAAAAACAAAACAAAAACCGAAGCTGCGCAGAAAGAAACGTCGCACAGGAAACCCCCGAAATAACGCCCGGGGACACCTGGCGCCTTTCCCCGGCCCCCCGTCAAGTGTCACTCCGCAAGGTTCGAGGGCATGCGGCGGCACTTACCGAGTCGACACTCGCAAGAGTGCTCCAGATCGTTGATGACGGTGCAGTTGCCGCCGTGCAGGCAGGGCGACGGCACGCACGGCACGTAGTTGGTGTCGCAGTTGCGGCCTGTGTAGCCGGCGTCACAGATGCACCTGCAGAGGGGCAAGATGGAGCCGTCAGCCACGACAGGGGGACGGCGACTGGATGCACCGTTCAGACTGGCAGAACAATCTCGCTACACACACCCCAAGTCAGGAACTGAACAGAGTTGTCGGTGTTTTGGCGTCAGGCGTAACCGCAACAGCTTTACTGCACCAGTTCCTAGGAAGTGGACGACGCAAAGTTGGTTTAGGGGTTTAAATACAAACTACAAAAGTGTCTGACAAAGCTGTTTGGCGTGAGTACGAGTGACGGGCATCACGCCCGGTCACCAGCTCCCAATAAGCTTTTATTTTCTGTACGTTTACATATCCATTGTGATTTTATTGTTCATATGGTACTATCAGTTCTTCAATATACCTGACAAGCATAAACTTCCATTCTCCAAACAGCATTATCTGACACGATCATTCTTGGGTCTCATCCAGTGGCTTGGCAGTGTAGTTTTTCACCATTTACTGGTACTTTTTTCACTTTCGCCGTACCTTTTCGTAAACGTTGTTAATTTCACCGGTGCAAATCACCGGCGTGTATAAGACCGGTGTGAATCCGAGCAAGGGAAAGACAGTAGCAGACCGAGGAAAGATTATCGCTTCCATCGCAGTGGACGGATTCCACACCTGCCGACTTGGAGTAACAAATCCCGGTTCAAAGTTCACAAACTTGGTGTAACAAATCCCACACACCGTTCAAAAACCTCCAAAAATTGGGACCGCTAAATTCCCGATCACAACAGTCCCAGCGTCACGTAGTCCAATTTCGCTTTCGAGTACAACCGCCCCTCTCCACGTTGCCTCCCCACGCGTCAGGCGTTGCGGTCACTCGTGCGGGTCACTCTCCACCGGGAGGATCCGGTGTTCCACCTGACCGCAGTGACCCAGACCCGCGGCCGGGGTCTTCGGGGCCGACAGCGCTCATGCCTGCGCTATCGCCACCGGCGGCGGCCCGTGTTTTCATAGGTCAGCTGATTGAGTCCACGCGCACCCGCCAACCCTTCTCGCCGCGCCCGTGCCCGGCCAGCCTGCCGACCAGTCATCACAACAGCCGAGCGTTCGGGCGCGCCGCTTCCGCTGGCACACCTGCGCTGCGGAAACGGCGTCTGGCGATTTGGGATCAGATTTTGCCCGCCGCTCCCCTTAAAGCTGCTTAAGTCGGCCTGCCGGAGCATACCAACCCGCGAGTAACTCGGGGCTGGTGACGTACGAGGCGGGAGAGGGGGGGGGGGGGGCGTAACCCTCTCGTCTAGACGGGGTGCCGGCGGCCGGGCCGGATGACGGCAGGTCGGCCCCGTTCCGCGGAGGGCTCCGGTGGAGGCGGCGGACCGTCTCCCCTGGCGTCGCAGGCGGCGGTGCGGCTTCGGAGTTTCGGCCGAGCCGGACCGGACCGGGCCGGGCCGGGCCGACGGACCGGACCGGACCGGACTACAACGCACCGTACCGTATCGGCCGACGGCGCCACCGGCTGGCCGACGGTCCGCGTTCGGTGGCCTCTCGCGCACGCGCGCACGCACGCACGCACGCACGCACGCACGCCCTCCTCCCTCCCGCCGGCACCCAGTCACCGCTGCTGGTCGCCCCCAGCGACCGACGCCCGCCCATTAACGCAGCTATCCGCTGTGGTGCAGCCATGCCCGCCAAGCGACCGGCTGCTAACATTTTGCAGCTGTCATGATCTCCATTTTTACCATCTAGCGGGTGCTGTTGAAATGAAATTATTAAAAACTGTATGTCCCGCATTTTTGCGGCATCGTGATTCGTGGCGAAGTCGTACAAGAAAACAGAACCCTTTTGGTCAGCAACATGCCCGCGATCCCCGACGATCGCCGGCTTTCGCGCTGCAAAGGCAAGCATCCCCCACGATGGCACATCCACCACCACACCACCGAGTCCCCTACCGCACCACACTTAAACCCGGTTATGCTCGCGGCCTATCACGAACGGCGTTGGCGCGGCTCCCCCGGCGAACACGGCGCGCCGCACGATCGCCCGGCGGCTGCCCGTGAGCGGCGCGCGCCCGCACCAAACGGCGACGGGCGACGGGCGACGGCCGGCGGCGCGATCTGATCTCCCGCCCGGCGTCGTAACGGCGCCGCGTCGTGACGCCAACACGGACCGGACACGAGCGGCCACGTCCGAGCCGCCGTCGGATCCACTATCAGACGTTGTCTGACCGAGCGCGCACGGGCCCCCGAGTGGCGCGACAAGTCGTAAAATCGTCCAGCCAGAGGGAGGGCGTCACAGGTGCATCATGAAGCGAGCGCGATTATCGGCCGCGACCCTGAGACGACCCTGATTATCGACCCTGAGGCGACGCCAACCGCAGCGGCGAGGCCCGATCGCGCCTCGCGGGATCACCCTCCCGGCCCACAACCACCGCGGCCGGGGCCAGGCCCCATCGCCAGCAGAGCGCTCAAACATCGCAGTGGTATTGTGAGGAGAACGCGTGATCTGCGCACCGCTGTTACGCTGTCCTTCAGGGCAGTGCCATGTCTCCGGCAGAGCACAACCCATGCACAGGACGCAAACGTTTCGGCCCTGGCCTGTCTGACTTGGTAAACTTGGCACTTCGCAGCATTACGAAACCCATACTAAGAACGCAACGCCCATTTACCCTACCACGGCACGACTTAACCTAAATATACATCGCCAACGCGAAAACTACCGGCGCGTGCCGGGCGCCCCGCCCCCGCGCCTCGCCCGCTGCACATGCACGGCCCACGGCCGGCCAGCGCGGCCGGCGCGGCCGCGTCAGCACTCACTGGTAGCTGCCGAACGTGTTGACGCAGCGGCCGTGGCCGCACGGCTGCCGGTCACACTCGTTGATGTCATCCGTGCACTTGGAGCCCGTGAAACCGTCGGCGCACGTGCAGCGGTAGCTGGAGGCCAGCGAGGTGCACTGGGCGTCGTTGCGGCACGGCTGCGAGGCGCAGTGGTCTCGCATCTGGCAGTTGTCGCCGCGGAAGCGCGCCGGGCACGTGCACCGGTACGTGTCGAGCGTCACGAGCGTGCACGTGCCGCCGTTGAAGCAGGGCTCGCTGTCGCACGCGTTGGCCACGGGGATCTCGCAGAGGCTGGCCGTGTAGCCGATCGGACAGCGGCACGAGAAGCCAGGACTCGAGCTGTTGTTGGGCACCACGTAGCACTCGCCGCCGTTCTGGCACCGCTGGCCGCGGCCCGTCACGCACGGGTTCTCGTACTGGCAGTACTTGCCGACGTGCGACGGCAGGCACCTGCCGAGAGGAGAGACGAGCGTCAGGCGGGGCGACGGCGGCCATCGCTTCACACGCACGCCGCGCACACACACAGAACATGCTGCCAGGAGAGGTCAGGTGTCAGTCGCTCAGACGGCGGGACGACGACCGCCTGTAAAATGTGGCAAAATGCAAATCGCGAGCACAATGTGAGCCCGCTGCCACCCGTGTTCGGTCCGAAATAATTTCATACCAGCGCACTGTCACGCATGCCGATCAAAACGCGACAGTGCGTAAAAACTGGCCTGCTGGTGGAAGCGGCATAGTGAATTGTTTAACTCCTAAAACGCGGGCGAATACCATGAATATTTCCGCCAACCCGGCTCAAAACGCTGCACACTACGCCAATCCACAGACGCCGCAACAGTCGCCACCCCGGCTCACGACGCTGCACACTACGCCAATCCACAGACGCCACAACAGTCGCCACCCGATCCTGTCGCCGGTCTTCAGTGGCCGCGGCCGTTGGCATTGACATGTTTCCGCCGTCGCGTTACAAGCTGGCGACCCCGGCCCGGGACACCGCAGCGGCCGCCACCGCCGACCCCGGTGACAGATTGTCCGACCAGCCCAGTCTCACCGTCAATAAACAACCGACGGCGGTGCAAAAACGGCGCGCGCCAGCCGTCCCGTTGGCGGTGCCCGACGATTAAGCCGTACATCATCGGCCACTTGGTCGGGGCGGTCGGTCGGCTCACCAGCGCCATCCATCAACGGCGACAAAACAGAGGCCGGGCCCGACAAAAACCGAGTCGGCCGCCGCGCAACGGCCAGTCGGCGTCACCCGGAGCCCCGCCGGCCGGGACCGCGGCGGGACCGGCGCCGATCTGCCGAGAGACCAGGCCCAGGCCGCCGCCAGACCAGGATCACAGGCCAAACCCATCTGCGCCGAGGCCGGGACGGGAGGCCAAACGATCGAGAGGGTGGCGGGGGGTGGGGGGGGGGGGGAGCATGGCTGGAGAGGAGCCCCCGACACAAACCAGATAACGAACCCGCGACAGACGTCAGAGTAAGCGGCGCCCGAGAGGGTGGCGGGGGGTGGGGGGAGCATGGCTGGAGAGGAGCTGGAGACACAAACCAGATAACGAACCCGCGACAGACGTCAGAGTAAGCGGCGCCCGAGGCCGCCGCCGAACTTAAGCCCGTTCGACGCCGAGAACGAGAACTAGAACCAGAACGTCGCACAAAACCCGGCCACACCGCCGCGACGGAGCCACGGGAGCCCTGCGAACAGACCGGGAGCTGACGGCGGTTCGGGCGCCAGGGTCAGCCGCCGCCACCCCTTCAGCGGTGGCGTGGAGCGATGGCAGCACACTGCCGTATCGCGGCGGCAATCGTATTTGGCTGATTGACTCGGCCGACCGGCGGCACCCATTTGTCTCGCCACGGCACAATGCCAAGACAAAGCGGGCCCGCTCCCGGTCCGAGCGGCAGCGTGCAGTGATAAATGTCCGCCGCTGCCAGTCGCCTTGTGCTCGCCCGCGACAAGTGGTCTATGAAAAATCGCCGTTGTGGTGTCATTCGCCGAATTTAAAGCGATAACGACCGAAAACAAACGGATTCCCCCTGGCTCGGTCGGTGGCTTGCCCAATCAAGCCGGGCGCGACAGACGGCGCGCTCCATCGGGAGGCGGCGAGGGACGGGCGCGCTCGACCGGGAGGCGGCGAGGGGCGGACCGGGGAGGCAGCCGGCGCCACGACCAGTCGTCTGAGCGCTCCTGCCGGACCGGCGAGCGCCAGCCGGTGACGGTGGCCCGGCGCGCACCCGCCGGCCGTTCTCACGGCGTTGTTTACCGGCCGTCCCCCCAGAGATGGATAATCTGCCCGCTCCCTTCCCCCGCCCGCCGACCCGCCCGCCCGTCCCCCAATATCCAATTAACATCAACAGCCGCTTGTTGTACTTCCCGGCCGTGCATTTTTATGCCATTTTCCCATAGATTAGCGTCGTGCGGCCGCGTTGCAGGCGGCCCATTGTGAGGTGACGTGCGCCGCCCAGGAGCTCACAGATGGGGCCCGCCTCGGCAACAATGGCGCTCAAGCACCGGCTCCCGATCGCGCCAAATCGATGCATGTAACACAGAGTAGTTCGTCTATTCATGGCACCACCAGGCGTCCGTATTCAAAACCCTGCGCCACATGCACCACACCACCGACAGAGGAAAAAACCGACTCCATATTATGACCCGTCTAATCATATGTGAATTATTACCGAATTTTCAACCCTTTCGGAAAAAATCTGGCCTATTAATCTCATTCTAAACTCAATGGTCCGAGGGTGGATAAAAAACCGCGGCCGAATCCGCATTCACAGGGCCGGGCTTGGATACGGCCGCGCGGGCGGCCACTCCGCGCCGCTCCCGGGGCCCGCATGATCCGAGCAACGCCCGGCCACCGGCGGGGCAGAGGGCAGCGAGGCCGCCATTACGCCGCCGACGCGGCCCAAGGATAATGACCGATCCGGTCGTGAGAACCCCCTGGAAGGTCGCGGCCCGGTGCGGCGCCGGCGGGCGGCCCGGCGGCGGCTCCGGGCCGCGCCGCCCGACGCCCGGCGCCCGGCGCGCGTCTCCCTTGGCCGGCCGGCCGTGACACGGCGGCGAATTCGGCCGGGGAAGAAATTACACGCCGAGTGGCGCGGCCGAGCGGCGCGCGCTTCCCACGGTGGGGCGCCGCCGGCTCAGCGGCGCGGACAGGACGGGCCGCCGCCGGCCGTCGGCCGTGCCGCGTCTTGAGTGTCAGGCCGCTGTCAGACGGGTAAAATGCGGGCGATGGACGGATGTCTGGCGGGTGCCAGGCTGACATCGATGGGATTGCAGTCGGGTCTGCAGATGTCCGGGGGGGGGGGGGACGGTGCACGTCTCTCTCCGCGACGGCGAAAGGCGACACCACGCAGGCTGGGTCATCTCGCGTTGCACCCCGCGCGCGATAATGAAGAGGCGTCGGCCGCGGCGCGCAGGCGCTCTGCTCGGCCCGCACGTGTTCGGCCGCGGCTCGGCCGCGCCGCCCACCGGCCGGGCGTCGGCAGCTGGGCCGGCCAGCCGTGACGTCAGCGCCCGGCCGGCGCTGATTGGAGGAGACTGCCGGCCACCTGCCCGCGCCAGATGGCCGGCCGCGGCGCGTCTCGGCCCGTCTCGGCGCGGGTTACGCGCCTGGATGCGACAAACAGCGGCGTCAGCACGGCGCCCACCGGCAGCCACGCCACCCCGGCCGATGGCCACTCGGCGCGGCCGCCAAAGGCCGGCCGCCGAGCGTGCAGCGCCGGTCACAGGGCGTGCACGGCGCGCCCCTACCCGCGCCACGCCGTCGTTGGCCGGCCGCCGAGGCCTTGGCGGCAGAGGACGGCCAGCCAGCCAGCCAGCCAGAGGACGGCCAGCCAGCTGTCGCGGTGACCGCGCGACGTGTCTGTTTTATTCATGAGCTGGCGGCAGGGGCAGTGTCCGCCCCGGGTCTGTCAGCGCCCGCGCAGACGCGCCCAGCATTTCCCGTCGGCCACCATTTGTCTGTGGGCCGACGCGCCCGCGGGGACGGAGGGGGACGTCCGGGCTGGCCCGCTCCGCATTCCAGCGGCCGCGGGCAGCCGGAGCCGCGCGCCACTCGCAGGAGCACGAGCAGGGGCGGGCCGGGCCGAGCGGCGTGACCCGACGGCCGGCACAATGCGGCGCCGGCCATTCTTGTCGGCAGCGCGGGCGTGTCCCCGGCCACTCGTGACCGTGTCCGTGTCGCGGTCGTGTCCGCGCCGTCCACGTCCGGCGCTGACAGACGCTCGCGCGCGCCGCGCGGGCGCCGGCCCGCTGCCGCGGCGATGTCCGCTGACCGGGCGCCACCACCGCCGCTCGTCCGCCGGACAGCCTCCCGGCGCTCCCGGCTGTCCAGCGCAGCTACCCGTGCCTGAGACCGCTCAACGCTTGTCCATGCTATGACGGCGCACGAAATGGGAAACGCTGAGGTGCACGCATCATCTAAAACACATTTGTGGTTCCGGTGTCCAACCTGACTCACGCTTGGTCACGCATGCGTAACGCGCCAGGTTACGCTCACCGTAACGCGCCAGGTTACACTCACCGCAGTTCGTTTGCCAAGTGGTGTTACTTTGCTGAGGCCATGATTCAGAACATCGGCAGAGTTTGGCTGTGCCTGAGGCTATCCTCACGTGGAGCGGGCATATCTCACGGGTCAGCCGATAGGAATACACGTCACGCTTTATCGCTACTGTGTTAAGGTGTCAACTAACGCCCATGGAAGACAATGAGGAAAATGGCATTAGCCTGTGTGCCAAAAACGACATTCCGGCAATGAACAATTAGGACAATGGAACGTGCCCTGCAAAAATGCCTGTTCATTTTTCCACAGCCATGCTCACCGTCCGGACACATGACAAAGAAACCACGCAGCACGGAATTTCTTCCACGACGCACAGTGTAGCGAGCTTCCACAGCACGGCGCACGCATTCTGCGCAACATAGCCCCCTTCGCGACGCCCTGCGTCTTGGCTAGTCGGGGAGTGACAACCACCCCGAGTCACAGTCAGCGAGCAGCAGCCATCTCTCGACCAAGTCCACGGCGGCCCCAGGCGAGGGCCACCGTTGTCTGGTGACCGGCAGCCCGGTTCACTGAACCGACCGAGAACGGGAGAAGGCCCCAAGCAGCGCGAGGGGGGGGGGGGCGCAGCTGCCGCCGCCGGACACCTGTCTCACATCTCCGTCAGCGAAGGAGGGGAGCGATCGGACACGTCAGTGGTTGCGCGTCTGCCCCCGTCCCGCAGCCGCAGGACGCGCCGGTGGTGGGCCCACCCGAACCCTCCCAGCATTCCAACCTACCCCTCGCTCCCCGCCGCGGCCGGAGGAATTCCAGCGCGAGGCCGCCCGCCGACGACAGGTCACATCGCCCCTGCCCCTCCCTCCGCGCCGCCAGCCACGCCACGGCCGTCCCCATTAGTCCGACAACGAGCTGTGAGCGCGTCGCCCGCCGGTCGCGACACCCACCGCTCAGCGGGCTGTTTATTTTCACAGGCCGCTATCGGCGCATCGCACCGTGTCCGGTTGCCGGCCGGCTGTTGTGCCGGTGGCGCGTTCAGGCGCGGCGCGCCTGAGGCGGGCGTCGCGGGAGCCGATGTGGCACCAGCGGCCAGCGACGCGCCGACGCCGGGGGTCGGAGGCCTGGAAGGGGGGGGGGGGGGCTGGACCCTACATCGTGGGAGAGACGGACTGCGACGGAAAACATGCACGTTCCGCTACACGAGGACGGTGCTGCACGCTGCAAAGTGCCGCGCCGGAGAATGCGGTCGCACATCTGGGCGGGGAGCGGTCCTGTGCCGCCGGCCGGCGGGCCAGCGCGCGGGCTCCCTTCCACGAAACGCGCGCTGGCGTGCAGAGCGGCTCACGCTCACCATCTGTGAACATTTCGCCCTTCACCCTGCATAATGACACCCGCTGTGTACGGCACCGGCGTCCCCGCAGTCCGAGCAAACAAAGGAGTCATGCAGCGAGAAGAGCTCACACCCTTGAGAGCATCGCCGTAATTAGCGACACGCGGCCAGAACACGGCACCGGACTCGTCGATTAACTGCGCATCGTGCAGGCACTTCCACAAGGCGACCTCTGGTCCTACGGTCCGGCATATCCCACTACTAGGTCATTCGTAGAGCCATTTCCGTGCGCGGAAGGCGCCTCGTCCGTATAAGCGTGTGTGTGAGGGTAAGAGTGGAAGGGAGCGCCG